GAGCTCTCATAGAGCAGATCATTATGATAACCTATTCTTTCAAAAGAGTGAAAAAGAATTGTGGTGGATTATCACAGCCAGAATGTTCTTAGAAGCACGGAGAGTGAGACTTTTCTGCACTTACATAGGGTATGTTACCAGAGGAGTCCAGTCCCTGGAGAAGGACATCACATTTGGTAATTGTTGTGTGTCATTGAGTCAGAACTGACCCACAGCTGACTATGCAGTGGGTTTTCAGGGCAATGAATCACATAAAAGGAGACTGTCCATTCCATCCCATCTTCTCCCACAGAGTAGCTGGTGGATTTGAACTGCATGCCTTTGCTTTTGTAGTGCAGCTTCTTACCAATAGGGCATCAGAGCTTCCCATGCTTGATAGAAGATCGGGAAAATAAAGGAAGATCCTCAATGAGATGGACAGATGCAACATCTGCAATAATAGTCTCAAACATAATTCAGTGAGGACAGTGTGAGGGCAGCAGAGAACTGGGCAGTGTTCCATCCTGTCCTGCACGGTCACTGCAGGAATCACGTGATACCACCTAACAATAATTACATTCAGGTGACCCTGCTCCCACTGAATCAGGCCTCAGTGTGTCTCTGCTGCCTGCAGTCCACTCCCACACTCTCTTGTTCTTGGCCATGTGACATGCTTTAAACAGGAGGATATCAGGAAACACAGAGCATTCTGGATTGATAAGCAGACAGGCAGTGGGCGTGTCTTCTTGGAAATCTGCAACCACCATGTGAGAAAGCTCATTCTGGTTCTGTTGATGATGGAAGACCATGCAGAGAGACAGAGAGCTAGAGAACTTCAATCCTCCCACATGGCCCAGTTGTGCCCAGGCTCCAGCTGACCCACCAGCTGAACACAGCCGCATGAATGAGCCCAGCTCAAATTGCCAGAAGAACCATCAAGCCCATGTGATTTCTGGAAAGAATACATTATCATTGTTTTACGTTGCTCAATGAGCACGGCTTACCTTGTAACAATTAATACCTGTATGCCCTTGCATCACTTCTGACTCACAATAACATTTGACAGAACAGAACTGCCTCAGAGAATTACTTAAGCTGTTATTTATATATATATATGCGCAAATTAGTATGTCTTCTCTCCCACAGAATTACTAGGAATGGAGATGTCTAGTTAGCAGCAGAGTGTATAACTGTTGTGTAACAGGTATCTCTGATAATTAAGAAATTGTTGTTATTAGGTCCCATTTAACTGAGTATGATTCACAGGGACCCTATGAACGACAAATCTGGACCCTGTCCTGTCCTGGGGCATTCTCATCATCTCTGACACATCTTCTTGTTGCAGTCACTGTGTCAATCCACCTGATCGAAGGTCTTTCTGTCTTTCACTGACCCTTCACTTTTCCAAATATGATGTCTCTATGTAAAGAACAGTCTCTCCTAGCAACATTCCCAAAGTATGTGAGATGAAGCTTTATCACCTTTGCCTCCATGGAGCACTCTGGCTGCACTCTCTCTAAGTCATACATGCTTGTTCTTTTGGCCGACCACACATCTTCAGAACTCTTCTCCAAATTCACAGATCAAAGGCATAAATTCTTCTGTCATCCTCAGTCATTGTCCAGCTCTCAGATGTATTGTATAGAAATGAAGAACTTACAAATATTATATCATTATTGTCAATATGTGCCATTGAGTCGGATCTGACTCAGTTGATTCTCAGTGGGGTTTCAGAGCCTGTAAACCACATGGGAAGAGATACCTCCTTTTTATCCTGAGGAGCAGCTGATGAATTCAAACTGTCTGCCTTTGAGCTGACATTGCAAGTCTTTACCCAATTAGGCCCATCAGAGCTCCCTATAAATAATACACATATTAACATATTTCAACAAACAGATGCTGTCCTGCATGTGCTCACCAGATTGTGCCAAGAAATCTGGAGGGCAACTACCTGGCCAACTGACTGGAAGAGAACCATGTTTATTCCCGTTCCAAATAAGGGTGACCTGACAGAGTGTGGAAATTATACAATATCACTGCTATGACACGCAAGCAAAATCCTGCTGACGATTGGCCAGAGATGGCTGGAACAGCACATTGACAGAGAACGACCAGAAACACAAGCTGGGTTTACAAAAGGTCGTGGCACCAGAGACATTATCACCAACATAACAAGGATCTTGGCAGAAAGCAAAGAGTACCAAGGAATGTTTATCTGTGTTTCATTTACTATGTAAAGGCATTTGACTGTGTGGATCACAACAAATTGTGGCTAATCTTGAGGAGAATGGGAATCCCAGAACACTTGATTGTGTTTATGCGAAACCTAGACTTGGACCAGGAAGCAGTCCTCAGAATAGAGCAGGGAACCACTGCATGGTTCAAAATCATGGAATGCATCAGGGATACGTCCTGTCTCCAAACGTTTTCAATCTATATGTGGAACAGATGATTTGGGAGGCGGGGCTTTATGAGGAGAAACGTGGCATCAGAATTGGAATAAGACTCATCAACAACCTATATTATGTAGACCAAACAACCTTGTTTGCTAAAACTGAAGTGGACATGACGCGTTTGCTGCATAAGGTCAAGGATGCAGTCTTGAGTATGAATTGAAGCTCAACATCAAGAAGACAAAGATTCTCACCACTGGACAAACTGGCAGCACCATGATGGATAGAGAAGAGACTGAGGTTGTAAACAGTTACAGCTTGCTCGGCTCCACAATCAATACTCCATCAATACTGCACCAGCAGTCAGGAAATCAAAAGATGAATTGCATTAGGTAAATCTGCTGTCAGAGACCTTTCCAGAGTACTGTGAAGCAATGATATCAGTCTAGAGACTAAGGTTCACCTGATTCAGTCCATGGTCTTTGCAATTGTTTGCTATATATAAGAGAGCTGGGTCATGAGTAAGGACAATAGAGGAATTGATGCCTTTGAGTGGTGGTGCTGGAAAAGAGTCTTAAACATACCATAAAGAACCAAGACCCTCTTGCAGAGGGTGAAACCAAGTTTCTCCTTGGAAGCTAGGATTTTGAAGTTCCGTATCACATATTTTGGGCATGTGGCCAGGAGGGACCAGTCCTTGGAGAAGGACATCACACACGCAAGGATGGAGGGACAGCACAGGAGAGGAAGACCGCAGATGGGATGGATTGATATAGTAATATGGGCAATGGGGGTAAGTGTGTCGGAATCAGTGAGACTGGCTCATGACAGGGAAGGCTTCAGAGCTATCATACTAAAGGTCACTATGAGTTGCAAGGCAACTTCATGGCACATAACAACTACCACCACCACAACCAGAACATTAACAAATTCATGCAATACACCTACTACTCGCTTACCAAAAATCTTCTTATTCAATACTTTGCACTTATGACAATAGAAAAACTCTACTGTCTGACTATTTCACACTAATAATGTATATCTGGCAGTAATAAGTAGAAATGTGGGGTGAGAGTAACATGGGTTGTGAACATTATGTGTCAAGTTGGCTAGGCCACAATTCTCAGTAGTTTTGCAGTTACTACAATGATATAATTTGGCAAGTATATTAAGATTCTCTTCTCAGATGTGTAATAATTTATTCACCCTCTATTTTGTGATGTGAATTGCTAATTTATTGTTTGTGCCTAATACTGATTTTTTAAACAATGGCCTTGTTCTTGGAATCCAACCATGCAAATGAGTGAAGTTGTTGTTGTTGTTATGTGCCGTCTTATGTACAACAGCCCTAAACTCTGCTCTGTCTGTGCCAATCACGCTGTCTCTGACACTCCCATCCCAATTATTCCAATCACTGAATCAATCCACCTCATAGAGGGCCTTCCCCTCCTGCGCTGTGCCTCCACCCTCCCAAGCATGATGTCCTTCTCCAAGGACCGGTCTCTCCTCACAACATGTCCAAAGTATGTTAGACGGAGCCTCAGAATCGTTGCCTCCAAGGAGCCACCCGGTTTAACCCTTTCCAGGATGAATCTGTTTGTTTTCCTAGCAGCCCATGGTATTCTCAATACTCTTCTCCAGCACCACAGCTCAAAGGCATCAATTCTCCTTCTATCCTCCTTGGTCATTGTCCAACTCTCTGATGAATAACAAGTGATTGCGAAGACCATGGCCTGTATCAGACGCACCTTAGTCTCCAGAGAGAGGGGAGATGTATATGAAAGATATATGAAATGATGATATATTATAAAACTCAAAATACTCATAAAATAGATAAGAGAACTCAGGAAAGAACTAGAAACAAAAGAAAAATTATTTCAGAAATTCAGTCACTGGGATAATGGGGGTACATGTGTCGGAGATAGTGAGATTGGCACAGGATAGGACAGAGTTTAGGGCTGTTGTACATAGGGTCATTATGAGTTGCAGGTGACTCAATGGCACAGAACAATAACAACAACAAAGACTTCATTAGAGAGCAGATAAAGCAAACAAACTCAACAGTTAATGTTTTAAGAGAAAGATGAAAATGATAAAAATTACAAAAAAATGAAGGAAGTGGCAAAAGTGATTTGAGAGAAAGTGACAAACATGAAAGACAGAGAAAGAAGGTCCAACATTTGGATAACTGGTGCCATTGCCACTGACAAACAAAACTAAAGCATTAAGAACAGAATGGTCATTAAAACTATTCTCTTTGAAAAAAAAAGCTGAGGTTGGTATTTGTTTTGTTTTGTTTTAATTACAAATTGAAGAGCATTGTGTACCTAGGAATATAGATCCAGAGGGACTAAAGATCAAAATATGCTCTGGAAAAATCACTGGACCAGTGTGTGCTGGGTGAATAGAAGTTCTCCAGAAGTTCCTTAGGAGGAAAGGCACTTCCCATCACAGAGGACGACCTAAATAAAGGCCCAGAGAATGGAGAGAGCTTAGCATATGCTGGGAATAGGTAGAACCTCAGGTGGAGATTGAAGGTGTGGGAGGTGGCACGTGAATTAAGAAAGAAAGGCTGATGCTTTGGACACGGAGCCTGATCATGCTATGAAAGGGGTCTGGAACACTCACCCATGTAGGGCTTGGTCCCAGCCATGGAGGATGCCTTTTCTGCACCTTTCACAACGGTTGCTATGTTGAAGTCCGTAATGTGAACATGTCCTGAAAAACACAGAAAAAGAAACTTCAGTTAGCAAGAGCTTCAGGCAGTTGGGTCATTTCCTCATCTGGGTTAAAGTTGTGATGTCCATGTTAAGTGTGGGAAGAACATATTACTATGATTTTATTTTATACTTCATCTAATACTTCAAAAATGTCTACCTTATGCATATGTCTTATAACGGGGATTAATTTTGAAGAACTTGCATATGATATGTAAATAAACAAATACATTTATACTGAATGGTGCTATAGATGGAATTGTTACCATTTAAAATATAATACAGCCTTTAAAACAACTATGAGATATCATCTCACCCCAGTCAGAATAGCAAAATTTAATAGAACAGCAAGCAACAAATACTGGTGAGGTTGTGGAGAAACTGGAACCCTCATTCACTCTTGGTGGGACTGTAAAATGGTGCAACCATTGCAGAAGGTGGTATGGCCTTTCTCAAAAAGTTGAAATAGAGTTACCATTTGACCCAGCAATTCCACTACTGGGAATATACCCCAAAGAGACCATAACTGCCATCCAAGCAGATATATGCACACCCATGTTTATTGCAGCTTTGTTCACAATAGCAAGGAGTTGGAAACAACCTAAGTGTCCATCAACAAATGAATGGATAGAAAAGCTGTGGTATATTCACACAATGGAATACTATGTTGCATTGAAAAACAAGGAACTCATGCAACATTATTCAAAATGGGTGATCCTGGAGAACATTATGTTGAGTGAAGTATCTCAGTCACAAAAGGACAAATACTGCATGGTGCCACTGTTGTAGAACAGGACTGACCTTGGGGTTGGGGAGAGACGGAAAAAGATTGGTTCAATAATGTATACTGCATTGAAATAGATGAGAGAGAAAACTGTTTAAAAGGGATGTGTGATTAGGTATTTTTGTCATGACAGGAGTCCAGAGCGAAGGCTGCATAGTGGAGTGGACCTGGTGAAGGTATTGTAAAACAGTGAAATAAATTTTCTTTTACTTTTCCAAGAGGGTAGTGTCATGGGCGGGAGGTTTGGGAGGGGAGAAAAGTGCAACAATGAATGAACGGAAATACAAAGTCTCTGTAAATTTTCATTGAAATTAATAATAAGTTAAAAAAAAAGAAGTAACTCTAAGTACAGTAGATTCATATTCAAGTCATAAAATGTATTTTTCAAAATAATATTAATAAAATAGATCACATATTTACTTCAAAAAAATAAAATATAATACAGCCTTGTTTGCAGAAAATCAATATGGCATGAAGCATTTAATAAAGACTATCAAAGACTATGTGACTATACCCTTCTGTCTGGATTAATTACACCTTAAAATAAAGAAAACAAAGAAACAAAACCCAACCCTAAGTATTGGACCAAAGGACAGTATCATGATACATGGAGAAAAGACTGAAACTGTTAAGAATTTCCTTTTACCTGAAAACACAATCCACATCCATAGTGACAGCAGTCAAGAAATCGAAAGATGTTTTGCTTTAGACAAATCTCCTTTCAAGAATATATTAAATGTGCTAAATTGCAAAGATGTCCATTTAAAGATGTCCATTTAAATGTGCTTGATGCAAGCCATTGTATTTTCCACTGCTTCATATTCATGTGAAAGTTGGACAATGAATAAAGTAGACCGAAGAAAATTCAATGCCTTCGAGTTGTTGTTAGGTGCTGCCCAGTTGAGTACCAATCAGAGTGACCCTATGAACAAAGGGCTGAACTCTATTCTATCCTGTGCCATCCTCACGCTTCCTGATACACAAGAGCCCATCATGGCAGTCACGATGCCAATCAACCTGGTTGAGGGTCTTTCTGTCCATTACCGACCTCCTACCCTTCCCAGCATTATGTCCTTCTCCAAGGAAGAGCCCTACCTAGCAACATGCCCAAAGTATGTAAGGTGAAGCCTCTTCATTCTTGCTTCCAAAGAGCATGCCGGCTGCACCCTCTCTAAGACATACCTGTTCATTCTCTTGGCCATCCATGGGATGTCAGTCCTCTTCTCCAACACCACAGCTCAAAAGTTATCAATTCTTTTTCTGTCATCCTTATTCATTGTCCAGCTCTCAGATACATAGTGGTGCTGGTAAATAATTGGTTGGTTTTTTTTGTTGTTGTTCTTTTACATTTGGAACATGGTCCATCTCTATTTCTTAGGAACTACCTTCGTAGTTAGTCAGTTTGTAGCATGTCCTCTGTCAGTTTGCTGTGCTGTGTGGTTTGCCTGCTGTAGTGATGCTAGAATCTATGTCACAGGCATTGCAAAGACCAGCAGAGAAACTCATGGTGGACAACTTTCAGTGGAGCGTCAAAACTATGTCAGACTAAGAAGCAGGAATGGCCATCCACTCCTGAAAGAATAAGTCTTTGAAAATTCTATGGACAATGGAAGAACATTGTTGGAGACAGTGCGGGAAGACGAACCCCTTAGGTTGGAAGGCACTCAAAGTATGACTGGGGAAGATCTGCCTCCTCAAAGCAGAGTTGACTGTCATGATATGAATAGAGAGTAAAGCTTTTACCCAATGAAGGACTATCATTTGCTGAAGTGGTATAACTCACAATAGGGAGAAACAATTGCAAAGATTCAATAATAACTGAAACATGGAATGTATGAAGAATGAATCCAGAAAAATTGGAAGTTGTAAGAAAATGAAATGGAATACATAAAAATAGAAATCACAGGCATTAGAGAACTCAGATGGACTAGTGTTGGTAATTTTTAATCTGACATGATCACATGATCATGAAAACATGATCTACCTTTCTAATAATGACAAACAGATGAAGAATGACATGGCATTAATTGTCAAAAAAGACCATTTCAAGATTTAACCTAACATACAATGCTGTGATAGGATACTATCCATAAGCATACAAGGCCTTTATACCTACAACTGTTATTTAATTACGCGCACCAACCATGAAAGCCAAAGATGAAGACACAGAGGATTTCTACCATTTTTGCTGCCTGGAATTGTCACTTTTGTCTGTTCCTTATTTGTATACTTCCCAGTAATGTTGGTATTCTGTACATGTGCAGGATAGAGCCTACAATCGAGATGCATTAATAAAATCTGTGACTAGAATGCAAATTGAATGATCCAGGAAACACTAAAAGAAGATGGAGGAAATACACAGTCACTGTACCAAAAAACCCCCCAAACCTAAAAAGTAAAACACTGACAGACACTGAAAAATTTCAGGAAGTACCAAATGAGCAGGAGCCAATGGTAATGAAGTAGAAATTTGAAGCTGCACTGAAGGCATTGGCAAAAGAGGAGGTCCCTGGAATTGATGAGATACCAACTGACTTGTTTCAGTTAACAGATGCAGCCCTGGATATGTTCACCAGTCTATGCCAGGCAGCTTGGACATCAGCTGTCTAGCCAAATGAGTGGAAGAGGTCCACATTAGTTACCATTCCCCAAAGAGGTAAGACAACAGAGTGTGGAAACTAGCAAGATCGTTAATATCACATGTAAGCAAAATATCGCTGAAGATCATTTTCAAAATGGCTACAACAGTACATAGATAGGGAACTGCCAGAGGCTTAAGCAGGATTTAGCAGAGGCTGTGGCACAAGGGATATCATCACTGATGTCAGATGAATCCTAGCTGAAAGTAAAGTATACCAGAAGAATGTCTATTCATGCTTTATTGACCATGCAAAGGCATTTGACTTTGTGGATGATAACAAGTTATGATTAACATTGAGAAGAATGGAAATCCCAGAGTGCTTAATTGTGCTCATGCAAAACCTAGACTAAGAGGCTGCTGTGTGAACAGAGCAAGGGAATACGACATGGTTTAAAATTAATAAGTGAGTGTGTTAGGGTTGTATGCTTTTCAGTACCCATTCAATCTGCATGTTGAGTAAATTATTTGAGAAGCTGAACTCTATGAAGAGGAATGTGACACCAGGATCAACGGGAGACTCATCAATAACCTGTGTCATGTAGATGACACAACCTTACTTGGTGAAAGTCAGGAACACTAGAAGCACTTGTTGCAGAAGATCGAAGAATACAGCCTTCAAACATTGACATCTCAATGTCAAGAAAACAAAGATTCTGTAAATTTTTACTGAAATTAATAATAAATTTAAGTTTAAAAAATTAAGTTAGAGTAAGGAAGGCAATGGATTTATAACTGCTCATGCTAACAACATTATATCGTGGCATGGAGGAGGAATAGTGGAACTGTATCCACATTTACAATATTCTTCTTACCAAAACCATTTATGGAAAATAGGAACTGCATTGGAACATGTATCTCTGGATTGGAAATGATCATACTATTAATATTTCTAGCCTTAAACTTAAAATATTATATTGTTCAAAATTATTTGTTATATATTTGTTTAAATTTTTCCCTCTTTTAAAACTGGGATCTAGACGGAAGAGAAAAGACCAGAGAATGGCCAAAATTATTGGGGCAGCTATTGCTGCCATTTTAGGGCCTGTGTCAGGAAAAGGAAGTCTTACTCATAAATAGTGCCACCCAAAGGTAATAAAGGAGGTCAGAATTGCTTCCACTGTGGAAAGCTGGGCCACTTCAGTAGACAGTGTCACAGATGAGAGCCACAGATAGGCAAGGGAGCTGAGAAGAAGCTCCCACTCACTTGCTTTAAGTGTGGATTTTAAGGACATATGGCCAAGAGTGGCTCACAGGTCCTTGTGGCTGACAGGACTGACAGGCCCCAGCTCCCAGCTCCCAGCTGGAAACAAAGGAGGATGCTTCAACGATTTAGATCCTCCCAGAAGAGCTGTGGGTGAGCATTAACATTACTGGTAAGTATATTCATTTTCTTCTGGACACAGAGCCTACTAGTTGGTCCTAAAAGCCTTCTGAGGTCCCAACTCTTCTCACTATTTCTTAGTTGTTGGAATTGATGGAAAACCTCATAAGCAGTTCCTTACTTCACCTCTGTCTTGCATGCAGACTTCCGAGCTGTAAAACAACACAGTGGTAGATGGAATTTGGTCCAGGACTT